CCTGGCAGGGTGAAGTTTTGCTGTAAGCAGCATTAATTCAGTTTCAGGTCAGGGATAAGATTGGGGGAGGAATGGAAACAATTTTTTTTTAAGATGAAGCTATTTTGTGGTACTCAGATTTTTAATTATTCTAATCATTCTTGCTATTGTAATGGTTGGAATTTAAAAAAAAACCCTCCCAAAGTGCAGCGCCTCAGTGCTTAATCCTACAGGAACCATGCAAAAAGGTTTTCCTACTCTGAAAATTGCTGGGTTTCATACTCTGCTGCTATCTCTGGCTCCTGCCTCCAGTTTTTTGTGTTGTTTTCCTGCGTTCAGCAGCTTACTGATGAGAAAACATGTATGCAGTTCTCCATCCGCCGTCCCAAGCTGCCCTCCTCGGAAACCCACCCGGAAGAGAACACGTACAAGCGTCTCGATGTGTCTGCCTGGCTCCGTCACCTGAATGAATGCGGACAGGTGGAGGAGGAGTACAAGCTGCAGAAGGTGAGAGGGGTGGCTGCTCTGCTTTTGGTCCTTTCTCTCCTGCCGCAGAGTGCGAGTCCCCGGGAGGAAGCTGCAAGACTTGGCTTTCATGCTGGGGGCAAGAACTGGGCGTTTGAGAGTATAAAGACCGGCATGTAGCGCTTGGCTGGAGGTCTTGCTGGGACTGCAGATGGGTCTGCTGCAGGCAGGATGGTAGAGCATCTTCCTGACCGAGGAGGGCGAGCTGTCCGGCTTCTGCTGCCAGTTGCAATTAGTAAACCAAAGTGTCCAGTGCTAGTCGTGTTTGCAAAGTGCGGTGTGAACAAATCAAAGAAAGAAAAATTGACATTACTGTAAGAAATAAAGTAGGGCTTGCAGGGGAGCACTGGGTCCAGGTCCTGAGAGAGAAGTTTGCAGTGAAATGCAGTGTCTCCAAGATTGGGGATTAAGCCGTGACATGAGAACGACACGTTAATCATAGAGCCTCTCCAGGGGGGGTTATTGACATTGAAATGAGCCCGATTTGTGTCTCGTCTGGGAATAGAAGGCCAGCACTTTCCCTCTAAACATGTGCAAATTGCAGGAGCTTGAATCAAGGCGTCACTTGTCAGGAAAGAACTGCAAAGCCACCAAAGCATAGTAGCGGGCAGTTTCTTGTTGCTGTTTTTGGGAATGTTAAAACTGTACCAGTCATAACTTTTGCTCCTTCTTCCAGGCCATTTTCTTTGGTGGGATTGATATTTCCATCCGTGGGGAGGTGTGGCCCTTTCTGCTGCACTTCTACAGCTACCAGTCCACCTCTGAAGAGAGGGAGGCACTGAGACTGCAGAAGAGGAAAGAATACTTTGAGATCCAGGAGAAAAGGTAACAGGCCAGCTTCATCCTCTCCTGCTCATCTCTCCTCAGGCCTGATGTCGCGGTAATACCGCTGGTGACGTACGGAGTTGCTGCCTCCTTTGCTTCAGGAAAAGCTGCCTGGAGTAGAGAAGCAAGAGGGATGGTGAAGGAGGTGTATCAGGCAAAGATGACCTCTTAGGGTCTGGAGCTAATACTGTACAGCTCAAATGTTGTCTTCCTTGGGTTCTTGAAACAGGCTCTCAGTACCACGTAGGGAAGCTTGTCTCACAGGCAAGGCTACAAGCTTAGCACGCTTGGTGTAGGACACTGAAGGTGCAAATGGGATCTTACATTTCTTTATAAGTATGTCTGGATGTAAAAATAGGGAAGAGGAAAGGAGATCTAATTCAAGGAAGTTATTACTGCGAGAACTATATGTTGTAGGTACATTTAAGCTGGAGAGGGACAGTAGTAGTATTAATTAGGAGACAATCAAAACAAAGTGGTGAGGGACACTGAAGGTGCAAACGGGATCTTACATTTCTTTATAAGTATGTCTGGATGTAAAAATAGGGAAGAGGAAAGGAGATCTAATTCAAGGAAGTTATTACTGCGAGAACTATATGTTGTTTAAGCTGGAGAGGGACAGTAGTATTATTAATTAGGAGACAATCAAAACAGAGTGGTGAGTTCTGGTGTGCCACCCACAAGGAGCAGTGGAGAGCAGAGTCCAACTGCTTCTGAAGTGGAGTTTATTGCAGAAAACACATCATGTCATCCCCTTTGTAACCCAGGAGGCTCCTTCTGGTAATCCCTTTGGACAGAAAATCTGTTCTGGACAGACCTGCTTGTCTGTTTCTCAGGTGATGAGACAACTCTGTACAGAAGTATTTTTTTCTGATAACTAAAGCTGAAATAAGGCTTTTTGTTCCTTGTGGCAACCGTATTCCTCTCTTGGCAACACACTCCTGTTGCTGCTCAATTTTCAGGCTTTCCATGACTCCAGATGAGCAGAAGGATTTTTGGCGTAAAGTACAGTTCACGGTAGATAAAGACGTCGTGAGGACTGACCGCAGCAACCAGTTCTTTCGAGGGGAGGACAACCCAAATGTGGAAACTATGAGGTGAAGTGTCTGATTCTAGTGTCCCAAACAGCTTGTCCTGCTGAATGTACAGAAAACTCCTGTTGTCATCCTTAAAAATAAGGAGAGTTCCAGTTAGGTACAGTGTTACTGTACCTTTGTTATGCTTCTAGATACAGTTCTAGGGAAAGTGATTCTGTGGGATGCCGCATACTGCACAGGGGCTCAAAAGTTCACAAGCCTCTGGGTGCAATTGCAAGTTAATCTTTTAGATGGCAGGAGTGATCTCTTGCTCTTCTGCACTGTGCCTGGCCCAGCCTGTATGGTGGGAGTTGGGGTGAAGGGAAAGGGTGCTGCACTCAGGTGTGACGTGCCCTCGCCGTGTCTCACCTCTCCTTTGCATCTCTTCTTCAGGAGGATCTTGCTGAACTATGCAGTATTTAACCCAACGATTGGATACTCCCAGGGGATGTCCGACCTGGTTGCCCCACTCCTGGCAGAGGTCCTAGATGAGTCGGATACTTTCTGGTGCTTTGTAGGATTGATGCAGAACACGATCTTTGTCAGCTCACCTCGGGATGAGGATATGGAGAAACAGCTGGTGAGGCTGGATGCTCAGCTCCCTGTAGCCCTGTCTTTAGCTTCTCCTCTCCCCAGTCAAATTAGAAGAATGCCATAAAGCGCTTATCTGGGCTGTTGGGTTCCAGCATGCCGAATCACGCTCCAAAGCCACAAAATACCTGATGAATAAAATTAACTCTGGGTGATTGGGGCACTCTAGAGGCAGTTATAGCCAATAAATTGTCAGAGTAAAGTTACCTTGGCTATGCTGAAGGGCACTGATTCGAGGAATCTTTTGTGAGCAAACCTATTTAGGATCCTGCTTGCTTTTTCTTTGCGCTTCTCTCAGGCGGTGAAGACCCACTGATGTGTTTTTGTCCCGATTCTGGGGTATTTGGTGTGAATGAGGCAGAGGAGTTGATTCAGCTGCAGCCCTCTTCTTTGTGGTTTTTTTTGAAGGTCTTAACATTTTCAATAGATTTTTTAAATTATGTCCAAATGAAAAGCCTTACATATCTGACAGAGTTTCTTAAAATAAGGTGATCTTGTTTAAAAATTGGAACTTTTTAGATTTTAACATGAATGTCAATTGTTTTCTGGTTAAGATCCTGAAAAATCCATTCTAAATCTGAACAATCATGTCCGGGTCATGATGGCACCTATTTAAAGTGGTAAACATGGGTGGAAACCCCGTGGGAGGCTGCTGGTGAGGTACAGTTAGTTAACATACACTAATGTGTCTGTATAGTCAGGCTTTCCACAATCACTTCCATATTATTCGGCCCCTGTTGAAATTAAATATCGCCAGAGATAGTGATGTCCTTTCTTTTCTCTAGTTTTTAAGGCTCTAGCTGCTTTCCTCCGCCTGAATCACTCCCCGTCTTTCTTTTCACAATGTAGCTGTCACGGGATTTTCTTTTCCCCCTCCGTCCTTCCTTGTGAAATAACTGCCGTGGCCTGTGAGCTCTGGCCTGTAGCGACAGATCCACGCGTGCTCCTGGCTGGGCTGTAACAAACAGGCTGGAGCCCAGGTCTGGCACACAGCACGGGGCTCCCCGGGATGGCGGGGGAGTCCTTGTGCACGAGGCAGTGGCTCAGCTGAGAGCATCTTTTCCAGATGTACCTGCGAGAACTGCTACGCCTCATGCACCCGCGCTTCTACCAGCACCTTTCTTCCTTGGGAGAGGATGGCCTGCAGATGCTTTTCTGTCACCGTTGGATCCTCCTCTGTTTTAAACGTGAATTTCCAGACGCTGAGGCTTTGCGCATGTGGGAAGCGTGCTGGGCTCACTATCAGGTTAGAGAGCCGGAGGTGGGACAGCGCGCACTGGGTGGCAGCGTGTTCTTTGCTGAATTCCCACCGTCTCAGCAAGTGCTGCAGAATTTCCTTACAGGCTCTTAGTAGCAAAGTATCCAAAATACGTAGGTGTTACAGAGGGTCTATAACTATCAAAAAGGTTTATCTATGTAGTAGGAGGATGGACGCCTGCTTTCTCCTACTTGAGGATGTCCAGGCTTCCAAAGGAGGCTTTTCAGAAAGTGCTGAACATCCATTTCGGAAGTTCAGACTTCTCTTACACAGCTGGGAAATGTCTTCCCCAAAATCACTCGTCTGCTTTGAAAGCTGTGGCCCAAACCTTGCTCCCGTGCTCTAAAGGCAAGAGGCTTTGACTCAGCTGTGATTCAGAGTTCACCAATAACTCCCTTTCTGAATATCACTAGGCAAAACTGGAAGGAACACAAAATCTCTGCTAAGGACACGCTTGCGGAGGGTGGGGAAGTTAAGTCAGACCTGTGCCTCCACCTGCTGTACTCCAGCCCCTGTTTTCTCATTGCAGACTGATTACTTCCACCTCTTCATCTGTGTGGCCATCGTGGTGATTTATGGGGATGATGTCATTGAACAACAGCTGGCCACTGACCAGATGCTGCTGCATTTCGGCAACCTGGCTATGCACATGAACGGGGAACTTGTACTCAGGAAGGTAAGTGCCCGTGGGCTGACCTGGGCTGAGTCTCGGGTCCAAGAGATGAGTCAGAGCGTTGAGAAAATCAGGGACTGATGCTTCATCTGTTGCATCTCCTCTATCTCCCGGCTTGTCTGGAGCCTGGGACGGCAGGATGCTGCTGTTTGCCTGGAAACAAGTTTTGCAGAAATAAGAGGTAGTTGTAGAGTGCTTAGGAGGTCATGGTATGGTTGGGATAACCCTTGCACGTGCTCGGGGACACGGCAGACAGAGCTGTTCACCTTTGTGCCATGGTCCCCAGTCCATCTGGGGCTGGGAGCGCTGCAGGCCGTGGGGTGTGTGGCAGCTCCCCTGACCTGGCAGTGTCTCCAGTGCATTGTTTAACTCTCAGGTTTGCGTTCAGGAGGGACGCTGCTTCGCTGCAGCTTTGACTCTTCTAAAGGAGCCCAGCAGAAGGATGGGCCAGGAGGCCACAGGCTCCCCCCGCTCCCCATGTTCTTCCCCTGGTGAGGAGTGAATGACTTTGCCTCTCTCTCCCTCCAGGCGAGGAGTCTGCTCTATCAGTTCCACCTGCTACCCCGCATCCCCTGCAGCCTGCATGACCTGTGCAAGCTCTGTGGGACAGGAATGTGGGACAGTGGCTTCATCCCCGCTGTGGAGTGCTCAGGCCATCACCCGGAGTCCGAGAGCTGCCCGTACGGGGGACTGGCGGAAGAGTCTTCTCCTAAACCAGGAAGTGAGGGCAAGAGAGGCTTGAAAACACGGGACGTCTTTGCTTTCCGAAAATAGCTGTGGAGGAACAGGGTGTGACAGCGGAAGAGGGAAGGGCAGGAAGGATGTGCATAGGAAAAAAACACTGAAGACAAAAATGGAGGGATAGCTTGTCAAGACTCCTCCTGAGGAGACTGAAAGGTGGAGAATGGAAGAGGAATTAAATCACTTTACAGGGGAAGCAAATTCCAGTGCACTGGTGGTGGAACATGAAAGGTATCAAACCAGGAACAGTGTTTGCACGTATTTGGATTTGATTTTGTTAGAAACATGCTTTTTCTAGGTCTTAACAAGGACTTTTTATTCTGCCTCTGGGATTGGACTGGTTAGCAACCAGAACTTTGTTGCTTGCTGATGAGAAATGAGAACGCTAAAGAGAGCCAAGTACAACCAGCAGCGTTTGTGGGTCAGGAGGAAGGAGCAGAGCTGTGGCAAGACCTCTCTCTGCAATGTCCCTTCATCCAGAGCATACCACACACACGCACTCTCTGCTTCAACCAAAACATGGAGCTTAGTGGCTTCTCTCTAAAGCCGTAAAGACCATTTTAATTATAATCTGCCAAAAATAAAACTGCAGGCCATTGGGATTGCAGGGAAGGTGTCTGCCTTGTTGGCGAGGCAGAACTGGTCACCTAAAGGTCTTGTCTCTCACCTTTTCTTTTTTGCTGTGGTACACTGGCTGGCATGACTTCTTTTCCATTTGTACAGAAGGTGTACAGCCACAGGTCTTAAAGCACTGCTTTTCTGTCGTCAGGGTATTTCGTAGACACCTTTCAAAGTTTACTTCCTCATGACATTACAGCAAAGCTGTCTCTGTATGCTGACAGCTACAGACTTCAGACACTTGTTCATGGAAGTCTGTTGTTTCCAGTATGTTTCCCAGTGTGTTTCCTTTGGCTCTTCTCAATTACTGACTCTTTACTGTCCTTACCTGTCTTTGCCATAGGCTGTAGCACACACTCCAGGTGGGCTTTAGGCTCTTCAGTTGGTGCCGGTAGTGCACCCTCTTCCTCATCCCAAAGTGAAAATGAAACTTGGTTTGTTGCAGTCATTTTTGCTGAGCTCTGTCTCTGATAAAGGTTTCCCTTGACGTATTTTTGAAAGGACAGCATGTTTCTCCTCTTGTCCTCTACAAAATTTGCCAACTAGATGTGGAGCTGAGGCCTTGAGCATGGCCGTGTTGCCAAATGTCCTTCCCAAACTCAGTGGCATCCAAAGGTGTGTCCTGAGCCAGCGTTTGTGCCAAACAGCCAGGGGAATAGTTTCCTTGTGAGAACGAAAAAGGAGACGAGGTGGCAGTGGGCTTTGCTGCATCCCTCGGCATGGCATGTGAAGCCTTGCGGCCTCTCCCGGCTGTCTTGCTCCCTCTCACTTCAACCATGCTGCTTCTCTTGTACAACTGTGTCTTGGTCTGGCAGGGGGAAGTCTGTGCTCACTTTTCAGCTTCGCCTGGCAGCCTTGTTTGTCCTGTGAGCAGCACGTGTGGAAAACCCTGCCTCCTCCTGCATAGTGCTGCAGCGGCTACATGCATCTGACAAGCAAAATTTCTCTAAAATCTTTCTGCAAGCCCTTGCCCACAGCCTGGTCTGGAGCCGTGTGCCCCCTTCCTGCTGGGAAGCGAGGCTGCCAGCTGGGATGCTTTGTGTGAGACCCACACAAACCCAGTGCACGCTGCGTGCGTAAGGGGAAGAAGACTTGACCCTATGCAGGCACCACACCAAAGACTGGCTGTTGTGTGGCAGAAGGACAGTTTGGCTCCTGATTTGTGTGCCTTTGATTCAGAGGATGAAAAACTTCCCCTTGATGAGAGCAGTGGTGAAACCTGCTCCAGTATCGTATCACACACCTCCAAAACAGCCCGGCTGCGAGAGGTACCAGGGCTGCAAGGCTGCAGGTGCGTGCTGGGCTTGTAGGAGGTGACACCTCGTGTAAGGGCTGGTGGCTGCTTTGCTGCGAAGCAGGGAGTTCTTCGAGATTTATGATGTTTCAGCAAATAATAAAAGTTTGTGTGAGGCATTTGTGTGGTACGTTGCTGTACAGGCTGGATGCCGTGCCTTATAGTTGGGGGACGGCACTTGGCTGGAGACCGTCCCCGCAGATTGAGCTGCTCCTTTTGCAGCCGTACAAAGAGGCGTGTTGGGTGCTGGGTCTGCGTTGCTCTCCCCAGGCTCTGCTGATTTCAGCCTGGGGACGCGTGGCAGCACTCGATGTATTCATCTAGATGCAACCTCTAAGTGGCGGCGGCTGAATTAGGGTCAGAAAAACCGCGTGTCAGAAAATGCCAGAAGTATCTTCCTGCAGAGCGGCGCAGTGGCATGCAGGCAGGCGCCG